AGGAGCCAATTTAATGCGATACTTAAAGAGAAGCCTGAAAAAAATAGTTTTTAACAATTGAAAGAGAAGAGTTGGGCTCATTCTTGCGCAAGGTCTGAAGCGCTTCTGCCAAATAATTTTCAAAGTGAGCAAAAACCCTAGAGTTAATCTCAGGAAAGAACCTACATTTCTAAGATGTGAGATTTTTAAATTATATCCATTCATGCCTACATAAATTTAAACTATGCTGTTTCTGACCACATAAACTCATTTTTCCACAATGCTTTCAACTCCAGATTCTGTAATTCTACAGTAGCACAAAAAATAGCTAACTACTGTAAATAAAATGCAGTCATTGCCCTCATTTGCTCTCAACAGAAGTACATAACCCCCAGCCTCTATATGTCCCCCAGCACCTCAAGATTGTAAATTTTGAGCAGCCCGTTTTTTCCCTCCAAAATTAGGGGTGGGAGGTAGTGAGGGGAGTGGAGAGATTGTGGGGATAACAGCAGGTAAGTCATTTAACAACTTGTTTCATAAGCTGTAACTCAGCTCAGGTGAAGAGAAATCTGGGAAGAAGAGTTTCAAATCACTCACACTGCTTAACTAACTCACTAACTTGCTATCAGTGAGGCCAGGAAATTCCTATTACAGTTTCCAAGACTGATATCAACCCTCACATGGCTGGGCAAGATCAAGGAAGTCAGAACTATACAGATTTCAGTAAGGTAGCTTTAATGCTAGGGGTTTTTTTGGGGGGGGCAGGGAGGTGGATAAATACAGAATCTTGGATTTTATACAGAAATACAGAATATTATAAGAGGATTTTCTCACCTTCGTTAATAGTTAATTAAGGCGGAGTCTCTTGGAATATTTTAAATGCTTTTCTCCAGATTTTTCCTTGCTTGGGCTGGGTTGCTATTTGTGAGATAGGTTGCCAACAGCCTCACTTCCTCCTGCTCTTTTAAAATTATATATGTGTGTTCTCTTCTTCCTGTCCTTCACTTCCTGGTAATCTCTCACATCTGCTGAAAGGTACTATTCTGCAGTTGAAAGGGGGGAGGGCACAATTTTTGGCTTTTTTTCCCCCCGGGGAGGATTTAAGAATGAGAATGGAAGGTGTTTTTCTTCCCAAATGCCCAGATGATTCAGAAGTACTTTGACCACCCCGTCCCCCCCACACAAAGGCAAAAAATGGGGCAGAAAACATTCGTCCTGCCCCTTTCTGAGATACAGCCATAGCCTGCTGTCACTCTGAAAGATCAGGAGGCCAAGCTAACCCCTGAAGATCTTACTTACTCTTGCTTCAGAGGACCACAGAAAACCAAAGTTGGAGAAAATGGTGTATGTCCACAAGGTCTTGACCTTTTCAAACCATGATGTAGCCTTCTTCTCAGCCTTTCTTTTGAGGGAATGGAGCTGGCTGCTGCAATGGGCCTGGAAGTGGATTTTCTCTTCCCTCCCCAGAATAACTTCAGGATTATGGCATGTCAAAGTGCAGCTTCATTGCTAGGGCAGCCTGACCCAACAATGCCCCTGCCTTACTGTGACTATGGCCATTTTGTACCAGAGCCTACTTAAAAGAACAAAACTGATTGCTGGTGGATGCATGAAATGCTGGAAAAAGCTGCCTCTACCTGAAATGAGGTGGCCTCAGCAGGTAACAACACCTGGCTGACTGTCACTAGAAGAAAACTCTCAGGGGATCACAACAGTTATGGTGAAATGCCCCCATGAACTAATATGGCCTTTAGGTGGCACTGTAAAACCACAAAATGGACATGGCAAGACTCAAACGCTGTTTTTGCTGCCTCCTATTAATTACCACACCCTTCCCCAAAGCTTTTCTGAGTTTTGTCTTTATATCAGCTGTAGGCTGCTTGTCTAAGCTGCTTTTTAATCAAGTAAAATACCATTTAAAGGCTACTGAATGGACTGATTATTAGCCACTCTGCAGCAGAAAAAACAGAACCAGCAGAAGCTATACCAAATCACATCCTCGTTGGTCATAAGAAACTGCCCGTGTGGTCCCCAGGAGTTGAGCTCAACTCGGAGACCTGACCTTCCCTAAAATGAATTTTTTAGTGTACCACATGTCATTTGTGACCAAAGTCAGTAAGATAGGAAACAAAATAGAAAAAAATGTCTCTTACCTCTAACATGCAATTTTCTTACTTTAGTGTCATTGGTGAAAATAGCATGCAGACCTGGTTCTCACCTTTTATTGTGATCTTTACTTTATCACTGTGGTATGAGCAGGTGTACCTTCTATTAATGAAGAAGCAATACGTGCAATAGTATATTTCCCCATCTATCAATGTAGCATCAGTAAAATGAAATAAAGTTTCGTGGTATGCCATCTGAGATCTTCTCACGGGACTAAGTGACTGACTTCTGTACAGAAAGAACTGTACTTCCATGTTCATTTTACTCGTGCAGCTGATGGAAAATGCTTCCCCCAAGGGGACGACGTTGCTGGGTCTCACAGAGATGGAAGGCTTGTAGTCATTTTGTCCTGGGATGGGAAAAAGGGAAAAGAACAAAACTGGAAGGTGGCAAACTCACAACAAAGATTGACTGATTGATTAATTGATTATGTGCTACTGTATTAAGTCAATGTTAACTCTTAGCAGCCACATATAGCCAGGTTCAAATTATCCTACTTCAGATACATTACATGAAAACCTAGCTCTCTGGAAATGTCCATTAATGCTAGGAAAGGTAGAAGGAATAAGAAGAAGAGGACAACCAGCATCAAGGTGGATGGACTCAGTTGCAGTGGTGATGAGTGCACCATCGGAAGACCTGAAGGAGCAGGCTCGGGACAGATCCTCCTGGAGAAAAATCTATGTGGTCGCTAAGAGTCGGCAAACTCATGACTATATGATCCCATAAAATGGGAGACTGGCATATTGTGAGATGACTACATTTAGTTCACAAGAGAAAGAGTAACAAGAACGTATTTTTTCTATGGTATTATATTAATTAGCATCTTAATGATTTATTTTAGCCTGTGCACGCAGCTCAAGTTTTATAGGAGGATCAATATTTTAAGCTGAACAAGGACCCAAGTAGAAATGTGCAATTTCTGTCTGTTTTACAATCCATATTAGTATGTGTGTTACTAATATAGTTTAGACAGATGTATTTTACAATCTATATTAGTATGTGCGCCTAGCATTTTTTTCTACAGATTTTTAAAATGTGTTCACAATGATGTATAACATAAAGAGGCCCCATTATGCATCTTCCCCTGGAGTACTGACACGCTAATCTAAATTGCTTAGGAACTAGCTATTTTTAAGAGGTTACTGTGGATGTATTACATAAATGTCCCCTGTTGTAAAAGCTTTAAAAATGCAAATTCCCTCTGATGAAATTTCTTATGAAATGTACTCACCCTTTTGGCCTGCACCCTTTTATCATGTATTTATGTTTTTGATTTGTTGCATTCTGTTTGGGTTTTTATTTGTAGATCCTTGCTCTGTGGAAAGTTAAATGCTAGCAGGTTTTATCTCGTGCTTATGTTCCTGCCATTGTGAAGCTTGGTGGCAGAGAGACATCCAAAAACTTCTAACCAATCCAATTCTCTTACATCCCTAACCAAGAGCACTGACTTCGCTCCCTTTTCATTTCTGCATGTACGGAGTGGCAGCTGGCTTAATTCTTCTCTGTCTCCAGAATGAGTTACCAAAGGAAGGAGATTTCTTAGTGATCCTCCTTTAAGATGCTCAACTACTCTTTGTCCCTCTTTGTAAAGCAAGATGTTGAAAAGGTGGCAAACAGAGGTAAAAGATGTGATGTGCTGTGGCTTCCAAAGGAGGGTAAAACAAGATGGAATTGTAATTGTGTGATCAAAGCTCTGCCCCTTTGTATGCAAGGGGCAAGGCTTCAGTTGCCCAGCTGAGACTGCCACCTTGACCTTTTTGACCTCTCTCCATGGATGACCCTGGTGATGTGGCAACTAACATGTATCTAGTTCTTAGACGCATAGAATGTCTGATCTTCAAGGTCATCAAATGCAGCTTTCTGTTCAGCGCAGGAATCTGCTCGGCAGCCCCTGAT